TCTCTTCCGACGATAATCCTGGGGGCTAGGTGCTAAATTCCCAATCTACAGAAGACGAGATGAAGCACAGAGAGGCTGAGTAACTTGCTAAAAGTCACACAGCTGGGAGGGGTGGTGCTGAGATGTTAGCTCAATGACCCACCTCAGGGGTCCACACTCTTACCCATGACACCATGTAGTCCCCCTGTGGTGGCTGTGAGCTGGGCCAGATGGGCCGAGACTCCAGGCTGGGCCTACCTTGCACCATCCCCATGATCTGGGCAATTCATTTAGTTCATACAAAGACCAGGACTTTCAGCAGTGATGGGGCTCCAATGCAAAGGTAGACAAGAGAGATTTGTAAATGTCGAAAAGCCACACCCAGCGGTGTTACTGTAGCAAGGAGCACTGCGCAGAAAACCAAATACCACATGTTCTTACTTACAGGTGCAAGCTAAACATTGACTATGCATGGACAAAAGGATGAGAGCCATAGACACTGGGGAATGCTAGAGGGGGAGGGAGGGGAACGTAGACTGGAAAAATACCTATGGGGCACTATGCTTGTTACTTGCGCGATAGGATCTGCACCTCAAACCTCAGCATCATGAAGTATACCCATGTAACGAACCTGCATGTGCACCTCCCGAATCTAAAATAAAAGTTAAAAAAAAAAAGCACTGCAGTCATGTCTTGATTAAGGCACCAGCCTCCCGTTTTGGGGAGAGGGAAAGAACTAGAGCCCCCACTATGTGAACAAGCAGGCTCAAATTACCCAGTGAGTTTGTTTTTACTGAGGAGAAGTGTATCTGTGGTTATACGGAGGTAATTGCATGTCCCTTCTCCCAGATGAACAGACACAGTGTTGAGGACGATGGTGCCCTGCTATTTGGTGGCCTCTGATGAAGGAGGCAGGTGCTCCCCAGAAGAGCAGAATTGCTCACTGTATTCCTCACAGCCCCTCCCTTGGCTGTTGTTCTTTATTTACCCAGTACAACTTGGAGCATTAGCCAGGGTAGGCTATATGCTAGGTGCATTTGTTGGCTTGGGCTGCCATACAAACCCACCGCAGACTGGGTGGGCTTATACAACAGACATTTGTTGGTATTGAAGTTTTGCAAGCTGGAAGTCCCAGATGAAGGTGTTGGCAGGGCTGGTTGCTCTGAAGTTTCCAGGGGAGCATCTTTCCCGGCTTCTGGTAGTTCCTTGGCTTGTGGCAACATCACTGCAATTTTCACCTGGTGTTCTCCCTGTGTGCCTGTGTGTCCACATTTTTCATAAGTACACCAGTCATATTGGAGGAGGGGCCCACGATACTCCAATATAACCTCATCTTAACTAATTACATCAGCAATTACCTTATTTCCAGATAAGGCCACATTCTGAGGTGGGGATTAGGACTTCGGCATATGAATGGTGGTGAGAGGGGAATACAATTCAACTTTTGACACCCACAGAGAGGACACCCTGCAATCACTTCATTATATCTCAGATAATTTCTCTGTTATGCCTGATGCAAACTGCCCATTTGAAGGCCTTCTCCTTCCAATCTGGCAAATGCAGAGACAGTATTAACATATTTGCAGCTCAAGTTCATGCCACTGACAATAACAATTTTGGACTCTTATCCCTTCCAGGGTTTAACAACACAAGTTCGAGTAGCCCCAGATTCCCACCAGAATCTGGTCCTCTCTGTGCCTTGGGGCCAGCTCTAGAGCATCTCTAGATCTCAGCTTCTTCATCAACAAAATGAAGGTAATGAAATCTGCCTTCCAAGATGCCACGGGCATCATTGAGAAGCACAGACATGAGAATGACATGTAAACCACGCTACAGCATGTAGCCCTGGACACTATTAGGACAAGCGTGTGTGGCAGTAAGCAAGGGGCACTGTACCTGGAGTGAACCTCTTTCCATCCAAACCCTAATCTAAATCCTTATAAGCTCGTTTGGAAGCAGTTGCTGCCAATTTCTTTCTTTTTCTTTCTTTCTTTCTCTCTCTCTCTCTCTCTTTCTTTCTTTCTTTCTTTATTTCTTTCTTTCTTTCTTTCTTTCTTTCTTCTTTCATTTCCTTTTCTTTTTCTTTCTTTCTCTTTCTTTCCCTTCCTTCCTTTCTTTTGTTCTTTGTTTTCTTCCTTTCTTTCTCTTTCCTTCCTTCCTTCCTTCTTTTCTTTCTCTTTCTTTTCTTTCTTTTCTTTCTTTCTTTCTTTCTTTCTTTCTTTCTTTCTTTCTTTCTTTCTTCTCTCCTTTCTCTTTCTCTCTCCTTTCTTCCTTCCTTTCTTTCCTTCTTTCTTTCTTTTCCCCTCCCCTCCCTTTCCCTCCTCTCCCTTCCCTTCCCCTCCCCTCCCCTCCCTTCCCCTCTCCTTCCTTCCCCTCCCCTCTTCCTTCCCCTTCCCTCTCCTCCCCTTGCCTCCTCTCCCCTCCCCTGCTCTTCCTTTCCTTCTTTCTTGACAGGCTCTTGTTAAGAGACAAGTCACCCAAGCTGGAGTGCAAGATCATGGTTCACTGCAGCCTCAAACTCCTGGGCTCATGTAATCCTCCCGCCTCAGCCTCTCTTAAAACTCATTGGCAGCTGGGACTACAGACGCCTGCCAACATGCTCAGCTAATTAAAAAAATTTTTTTTGAGATGAGGCCTCTTTATGTTTCTCAGGCTGGTCTCATATTCTTGGACCCAAGTGCTCCTGCCTTGGCCTCCCAAAGTGCTGGGATTACAGGCATGAGCCACTGAACCTGTTCCAATGTCATTTTTTGAGTGAGGACAGAGTTGAGAACCAAAACAGGTAAAAGAAGGCGCATTTATTTGTACACTTTGCACCCAGATAACTTTATCATGTGTTTTTCATTTTCATGTAGTTTGATCATTTTTGGATATTGTTCAGTTTTTCTTTCATAAAATCGTGAGGATACAAAAATATACCACATCACTTAACAAGGAAATCTTCACTTCAATCTTAACACTTGAAAAATCTTGCAGACTTTGCTACTATTTGGGGACAAGCAGGGGACCAGTGAATAGAAGAAGGTGCTTTCTTAAGCCTGTGACAAAGAGAGGCTGAGCCACGCCATCTTTTCAGAGCCAGAGCTGCCCTCCGAGGGCTTCAGCTCAAGAAGGGAGGAAGACAAATGAAGAGAAAATGAGGCTACAGAGTGGGGGGTATGAACTTTCATGAAGACTGGGACTGGGAAGAAAGCAATGAGCGGTGCCAGAAGGAACCAAAAAGGTTTCATAAAGGATGTTGTGTTGGGGATGCTATTCCAGGAGGAGGGACCAGCTGTCATCGTGTGTTTGCTGGGGGCCTTTGGTGTGAGCTACTGGGGACAAGTGGAGGGAAAGTGCCCCTACTCTAGACAAAGACTAGAGGTGTCTTCATCTGCAATTATTAAAGCATATAAAAGAGCTGACATGTGACAACTTTGGCCCTTTTACAAAAATGGCAATTTCGTATCGTTCAACCTGACACCGATTCCAGATAAAATGGAAATGCCTCATATTCTAATTTTTGTTCCATATAACTACACGTGGAATCCCTGAGAGTCACTGGAATCCCTGGGAGGTTTCTAAAATAGACCAATGCTTGGACGGGATCCCTTAAATAGGGGTTTCTGGGAGTGGGGCCTTCTGCAGGGGGCCTAGCCTCCTGGTCTCCATGATTTCATGGGATTCCAGTTCCTGGCCTATCCATATTGAGGGGATGAGAAGCAACCAGGATAATGGAGGAGACAGGGATTCTGGCAGCGGCTACTCCTCTCCAGGCTCCCTGGAGAATACGGATCACCCGGGATTCTCACTGTAAGGGGGATGCAGGCAGCCCAGGGGCCTCCAACCCAGGGGCCGCCTCAGCAACCAAATCACATCACGTACTTGAGGCACCAATACAAAGTTGCCTTCTTCGTAGAAAATGAATGTAATCATTTACTACGTGGATCATTTTTGGATATTATTCGACTCGTGGGTCGAATTAATCTCCATGGGCCAGCGGGTCCTTCCGTCCCAATTGTCCTGCTGGAAGAAAACTTTTCACTGTCTCTTGGGCGTCCAGCTCCTCTTTAGGACAAACAGCGGCGCCCCTTCTCCTTCCATCTCTTGCCCCATCCCTGCACCTACAGCCTCACACCTTCTTCCCGGGACACAGCACTGCCAGGACCCCATCCTGGTTCAGCTCAGCACCCAGGAGGGACCCCTCGGGCCGACTCCCGGGACTTTGTTTCTTGGACTTCCGCCGCCCGCCGCCTCCCTAGCACAGCTCCCGCACCCCGCACCCGCCCACAGGGGCTCCGGGACCTTAGAGCTTGGGAAAGAATTGCCCAGAGTGGGTCCCGCGTGCGCGTGGAGGGGACGTACGCCCCAGGCCTCCACCTTCCTTCTGACCCCGGGGTTCCTTGGGCGTCGCTTCTCCGTCTCGCGGGGGCGAAGGCCCTGGGTTCGCAGTCAGACTCCGGCCCCTCTCAAATCAAGTGGCCTGGTTTGACTGAGGAGGGGGAAGGCACACATTTTGTAGGACTAACTTCCCCCGAAATGGGGAATTTCGCAGGATTGGAGCATTTTCGACTCCCCAGGTGACGCCAGTAGGGTGGGTTCCACCGTGCACGGTGGGGAAACTGAGGGTCGGAGGGGACAAGGCAGGTGCTCGAGGTCACGTGGTTCCTCCGACGGGCTGGAACGCAGGACGCGGAGTTGGGGCGCGGGCTGTGCGCGCCCAGGTTCGCGGCTCCAGGGGATCGACTGTCGCAGCGCGGTCGCCGCCGAGGACTACGGTCGGGGCGCGGGCGGGCCCCAGTGCGCAGGCGCGGCGGGCGGGAGGGGACGCGCTCCGGGCGCGCGCGCGGGGCAGCCGGCGCCCCAACTCC